CCTTACCACCAGGGCAGTCCAATGGGATGGCCAGGAGGGAGCTGAGGGAGCTAGAAACAATGCAGGTTGGAAGTGTATGTGTGTGGTTGAGGAGGGGGGCGAGGAGAAGAGGATTCACAGAGACAAGGAGAGGCCCAGGGCACTGCATATGGTTTATGGGAGCCTGAGGAGAGGACTTAAGAGCTTAAGGAAGGGGAAGAGAGTATAGGGTTAGGAAGGTTTCCAGGAGGAGGTGACCCATGAGCTGAATGCTAAGGATAAAGAAGGGGGAAAGGCCATTCTAGGAAGAGGCTTAAGAATACCGTCTGAGGATGGGAAGGAGCTTGGTGTTGCACTGAAAGTGAAAGCTCAGGAAGCAAGGCTCCAAATCACTCAGGTTGAACAGCTCCTGTTCTCTTGGTAAACATACACCTAATCTCTACCAAGCACGTGGATGGCACGTGGATGGCATGAGGCACGTGGATGGCARGTATGGCGTGGCAGTACAGAGCTGTATTCATGCTCTTGTGCTGGGTTCAGAATTGCCTCAGAGTCAATAGCCGTGATTGGTATATACAATTAATTCTGTTACTTAACAGTAATAATGGGGACAGAACCTGGGGCCTCATGCAAGCTAGGCAAGCACTCTACCACTCAGTTACATCTCCAGGTCTGTTTTTTTTTTTTTTTTTTAATTTTTTAAAATTTTGAGACAGGGGGCTGGGATTGTGGCTCAGTGGTAGAGCGCTCGCCTAGCATGCGCAGGACCCGGGTTCCATCAGCACAACATAAAAAAAAAATAAAGGCATTGTGTTGTGTCCAAATACACCTAAAAAATAAATATTAAAAAAAAAATTTGAGACAGAGTTTTGCTGAGACTGACCTTGAATTTACAATCCTCTAGCTCTGGCCTCCCCAGTAGCAGGGATTACAGCTGTGCACCAYCACACCCAGATGCTTACTTCTTTTAATGGTCTCCTTTAGTAGCTTGCCTTGGGAAAACTGCATGGATTCAAACAGCAGCTCAGCCACCCACCAGCTGAGTGAAGGCAAGTGAAATGACTCCTCTAAGTCTTATCTTTCCTTATCCATAAAATGGGTCCTAATGGTACCCCTATATTGCAGGGTGGATATAAGCTGTCCAGTGCAGGTCTTTTCTGCCTTTCAATTACTTCTACTTACCCCCCCCCAATAGTCTCAGGAGACATTATCATAATCATCCTCCCTCCTCATGAGTTCTAGTGTCAGAATTCAAAATCCCCACTTTCCCCCTCTTTTAAATTGTTGCTTCAGGCTGCTTGGCCATTTCTAGCACCTAAACAATAGTAAGAAACACAGATACCTTGAAACAACTTCTAAATTGGGCCTGAAGAAAACTCTGTTATTTCTTATCCACAATTCAGATCCTGAAAAAACATGTAGCCATCTGCCTATCTATATCACTGTCATTAACTGCTGAGTGAAAGGAATACTTTGAATGTCAAGGGCATATTAGATTATAAAAGAGCAACTTCTAGAAAGTAACTTTCTTTTTTCTTTTTTTTGTGGTGGAAATTGAACCCAGGGCCTTGTGCATGTGAGGCAAGCACTCTACCGAATGAGCTATATCCCCAGCCCAGTAACTTCCATTTTTAAAAAGGTGGTCTGCCTCCAAGGCTCTTATACAACGATGACAGAGCTGCCCCTAGCCACAAGGACAGAAGGCATCCTTYTTCTTCTTCTTACATTTTTAGTTGTAGATGGACATATACYTACTACAGAGCCACAACCCTAGTCCAGCCATTCTCATTAAATAGTGTGAAAAACACTTATTTGTCAAGTTCTTTAAAATGTTCAGCATATAAATCCATTCTCTCAGAAACTACTGCCTTCAGTCTTCCGGTCTCTTAAGAATAATGCTAAAAGTAATGTCAAAATACTGAATTTTAAGCRCTCTGTATATAGGAGCAGCAGTAACTCAATTTGATCAGCTCTTCTTTAGTAATCATTTTTCAGGTCCTCTATGTCCTTTATTATGCCACTCCTTAAAATGCAAAAGATTATGCAGATGTTTAAGAAATTGCACTAGATGAAACAGGGTGCTCTGGAGATAAAATTGATGCTGATAACCTATGGCTTACAAAGTGATTCCTATCAAGGCCCTTTGGACGTAAGCACAAAGCCTCAAACAATGTTTGACCAGTCCATCAATATTTGAGCAATATTGACTAGCCAACCAAAAGACATTAGGTACAAAGTATTCAGATAAACATTTCCAGTTCAAATGCCTTGCATTTCTTGGAGATATTAGCCTATCCAGTGCTCTAGTTTTAAAAATGCATTTCCTCACATTCTTCTTATTTTAAAACGAGAAGTTAATTAACTTGCCCATGATCACAGAGCTAAAAAAGGCACAAATCATACAACAATTGTGATCTTTTAACTACTGGTTCTTGTACCACTATTGCACACTGCTTTTCAARGGGGGGTCTTATAATACTCCTTCAGTCATTTCACAAAAACATTAAATAATAAGAATTAAAATTCATAAGGCTTTGGTTTCTATCCCTAGCACCACAAATAAATACAAATCATTATAAATAAAAATACATTAGTATGTCACTATGCATAGGTCAACACAAAAGTTATGTTCATTGTTTTCATTTTAAACAATTTGGCTAAATGAAATAATAAATTTAGAAAGCATTTCACATAAATGATTTGAGTATGAAAAGTATTTCATTGGATAAATTCTGAGTTCTTCAGAATATCAATTGCCAAGGTTTTAGGTTTTATTGTATTAAAATTAGTTTTTTTTAAAGAATCTTAAAAATAAAATAAAGAAACTTCAAAGGGTTTTCCACTTAAATTTTAAGTGGGAATTTTTAATGTTTACCACTTCTAGCATTTGGCTTTAAGTAAAAATCACTTCCACTGTGGAGGGAGTGAAGGATCTCACTTCCTTGTTTGAATAGTTACAACCACCAGACAGGGCATCTATCACCCAATCCTAGATCACTGTTTAAATCTGAATGGCAGCTCCTCCTCATCAGATACTCTAATATTTTAAGACTTTTTTTTTTGTTCCATAATTTGAAGCATTATGGTCCTCCTATGTGTTTAGATTTTGATATAAAATTCAACATTTGTATCATATTTGTTTTAAAAATAGGGTTTGAACATTCACTTTCAAAGACCTGCCAGGCACTATTATATAAGTGCTGTGAAACCACACTGAACAAAGTAGGTAAGGTCTCTGCTCTCATATACCCTCCATTCCCCTTTTAAATTTTTGAGAGTTATGCTAAGTTGCCCAGCCTGGTCTAAAATTGTGATCCTCCTGCCTCTCCTTCCAGAAAAGCTAAAGTTACAGGTGTGGGCAGGGCCACCTGGCTCATGTAATTTGCACTCTAATGGGGAAAAGGCAGAAGAGAAAAAAAAAAAAAMAAAAAACCCAGCTCTCAAAAGGGAAAGAATAACTAAAAGGTCACACCAAAAAGAGAACTTCACCAAGCACTGTAGTTCTAGAGCTCAGGTCATCCAGCCAAACCCATAAAAACAGAGTTATTTTAAGATTACCATATGGTGAAATGGACTTTCTCTTAATTAGAGTTTTAAGCATTTCTTTTTGTTCTCCAATTTTTCTTCATAAATCACTCTTAATTATGGCCCACTAGGTAGGTAAGCTTAAAGAGCACACACTGACAGCGAGCCAAGAAGGATCCAAATAAGGGAGAGAAGAAAGTGGAAAAGCCAGGGCAAAACTGTACTGCCAAGAGTGTGGGGCTTTGGAAAGGACAGGCTGTTCTGCTGACTTAAAGACCTTGTGCATATATTCAAAGGAAAGGTCAAAGAACGTATAATAGGCTTCTGGTAGTTAATATCTGCTTGGAGGTGGTTTTAAGATTGGGCTCCTCATTAGGTAGTACTTAAAAGTGGCAGCCCCAAATCGGCTTGTGTGAATTAATCGCCTGGATCAGGTTTCCACTAGGAAGAAATTCCTACTTTATTTTATGCTCTGAAATTTCCTTCTGTCCTACATATCACAATTTAAAACTACATATTTGTCATTTTTTGGAGAGAAGTATGTCTTTCCCTYTAACTTGTCCACGGCTGTATCGCCAGCATCTATCTGGAATAGTGCCTGGAGAAACTGGGGTTACGAAATACGGAATGAATGAGCACAGCGAGATGGAAGAGATGGAAAGACTGTGGATTCCCTACGGCCAGACCTCCTAAGGGTTTAAAAAAAAAGGGGGGTGCACTACACTTCAGTCCTTTCCCATCCAAAGACCAAAAGGGTCAGCCGGGACACAGGTGGTAAAACCCACTGGAGGATGCCGCACGCCAAGGTCACGGGATGCAGTGAGGAGAGCGAGGTCCGAGAGCCGGCACTCTGGGCATTTTCTTCCAGGGCGTTTCCTTCCCCCTGTCACGCAGGCAGCAGCCAGCCGCCGCCCTGTCCCGCCCAACTCGCCCCGGCTCCAGCAAGGCTAAGACCGGTGCGCCCGGCCGCCCCCCAGGGCAGCCGGTCAAGGGCACGCGCGCCCCCCAGGGCCGTAGCCAATCGGCGCGAGGCAGCCCCGGCGCCACAGCCAATCGGTGCGGGGCTGGCCCGGGCGCCGCAGCAGGCGTGCTCACCCAGCCCCGCACCCCCACCCGGCCGACTGAGTATCTCGGACCCCGTCMCCCCCCCCCCCCGCGCTTTCCCTTGAATGGGAGTCCGGGTGCCGCAGAGGGCCACACTTCCTTTCTCAGGGCATTGCGCCGGCTCGCTCTCCTGCGATGCCTGGTGCAAGGGAGAGAAGGGACGTGGGGCTCTGAGGATCACTGTGAGGCGTGGACACACAATTCTCAGCCTCCAGCGAAGGGAAACCTTGGAGGTTGCACAAAGGGAGATGTGTGTGTGTGTGTGTGTGTGTGTGTGTGTGTGGTGTGTGCGTGTGTGTGTTGAGTTTGGAAGCGGGGAGGGCTAGATGACCCACGGTGCCCATGCCTTTGGGCAGGCCTGTCCTGCTCCATCTCAGTATCCCTTCGCTTACCTGGCTCTGGCAAAGGCTGCGGCGGCAAGGCCCGGGTGGAAGGCGCCAGCGGCCCCGGAGAGGATGCGGCTGGAGTGCAGTAGGGCCATGGTGGATGGCAAGAGGGCAGTAGATAGCGCAAGACAGAGCGGAGGGCAAGTGGCCGCAGGCACAGAGGCGCGGGCTCCTGAACAAGGTGAGGACCTCGACTTCCCTGGGTGAGGCTAGAGCGGCCGCGCTCGGTGCCTGAGCTACGTCACAGCGTCCTCTGGCGGCCGGGAGTGGAGCGGCTAGGCTTCCGCAGAGGTCCTGGGGAAAAAAACCGATAACCCTTTTATCTTAGCATATCTTGGTTGAATACTCCCTGCGCCCGATCGATCCGTTAGCCAGGCCTCACTTGGTTCATTATGCCGGTGCCCAGAGGCAGCTACTAGTAACCAATCTGAAGACTGAGAAATGTAGGCAGACACGGGTGAAACATTTTCTCAAGTCCCTAACAGTCATTAAAGGTGGCCTTACTTTCTCAACCATCAGCCCGACTGCAGGTCATCTCACCTTCCTGAATGCTTCCTTATCCCTGTTATGGAGAGGATAGCAGGGGTATTTTGTGGGGCAGTTGTGAGGATTAACCGAGATTAGCAGATTATGTCTAAAAACAGGGTCTGATTTAGTAAGCACAAAATAACTCATGGTTAATTAATGACGAACAGTGTATGCTAGATCCTTATAATTTTGTGTGAAAGGAAACAAATCATTTTTTTCTTTTAAAAAAGGATTTATTTAAAATGCTACACAAAATTTTGAAAGGATAGAGTGAATTAATTTGAGAAAAGTTTGCAAGTTAAACAGGTCCACTATTAAAGTTTGCAAGTCAAACAGGTCCACTATTAAAAGTGCCATTCTCTGACACTCTCCTCTAAAACTGAGATAGAACTGTGCCATTGCCAACTTAATTTATTCTTTGTGGCTCTGTCTGTATGATGAAATCCAGATAGCTACATAAGGTCACATGGCAGGTCCTTCCAGTCCAACCATAATATACTGTCTCCAACTCACATTCATTCTCTCTCTCAGGACCTTAACCTATACTCCCTTTGATTACATCTGTAAAGACCCTATTTCCAGATAAATCACATTAGCAGGGATCCTGAGTTAGAACTTGAATATTTATCTTTTTAGGGGACACATTTCAACCTATAACAACCATTATCTGCAAACCCAACAATTAAACATTGAAGTATACACCCTAAATGCCTTACACATTTGTAAGTATGTTAGTGAAGTATTGCTTATAGAAGGAACCTTGATGCTCATCAGTGGGGTACTAAATGTATATTCTGTTATAGTCACATGATCGAACATTGTAGAGTGATTGACATGAATAAATTCAATAGATATCAAAATGGACAGACTTGCCGGGCACAGTGGTGCACGCCTGTAATCCTAGCAATGTGGGTGACCCAGGGAGGAGGACTGCAAGTTTAAAGCCAATCTCAGCAACTTAGTGAGACCCATCTCAAAATAAAAACAAAAAAGGACTGAGTGGTGCAACTCAGACACACACGCAATTTCAGAGAAGATTAATATTTGTTATCATTTAAGGGGTGGGTATTTGTTATACTGGATTCTGACTTTTTTGTATACGTGTGGATGTGCATATATATACACACATTTTATATATGTATATTATTACATTCACATATGTACACATCAGAGTATTTTTTTAAATCCCCTTAGTCTCTTTTATTCTAGAGTCTTTATCTTGTTTTATGTTGAAAAACACACACAGAAAAAATGCTGATCTCATGAATGCATGGTTTGATAAATTCCCACAAGCTGAATGAATATACCTATTATGGTTTGGATATAAGATGTCCCCCACCTCCCAAATTCCTATGTAAATGCAGAAGGTGGAATGATTGGATTCACATCAGAGTATTTTGAATTATTGGTATGAAAAAGGAACCAGACAGGGCAGGAATGCAGCCCTCTAATTGGATTCTTGAATCTTGCATTTCAGGATTTGGTCCTGATCTGTCACTTAGCAGTTGCAGATCTTTTAAGCCATACCTACCCCTGTAGTCTCAGGAGCTTCTGGCAGCTGCTCCAACCCTCAGACTAAATCATGACATATCTATGTGTCTGCATTTTACAACATGGAGTAAGCATTCATCTTTTATCAGTTTTATTTATTTATTTTTTTGATKTTTTTTTATATTTATTTTTTAGTTGTAGGTGGACACAATATCTTTATTTTATATTTATGTGGTGCTGAGGATCGAACCCAGTGCCTCACGCATGCCAGGCGAGTGCTCCACCACTGAGCCACACACAGCCCCTTTGCTGTTGTTTTTAATCAGTTTTAATAAATGACGTGCAAGTCTTTGGGTTAGGCATTCTGAGTGACCTTGAGTTTGGGCATTTGTAGCGCCAGGTTCCAGCACTTAGAACCTACTAGATACAGTGCTCTCCTACTCTGGAGCTTATCCAGGCCTCTCTTATTTCCTTCTGGCCCCCAGACAGGCCTAGAGGAAGCGTTTCCAGGATGAGCTCGGAAAGGCCTGTCCAGGGCTCTAGGTGGATATATGTGTAATGTGCTGTCCTGGGAGAGAAGAGGTAGGGAGTGTCCTATAGTGAGGGGGTCCTAGTCATAGAGCAGCCCTCCTTTACCATTCTCACAACTCCTCTCAACCCAAAGCCACACCTTCCTACCTCAGACCTGTTGAAGCTGTAGAGTATAAAACCCTAGAATCCAAGGAGGCTCTTGGATCTCATTAAGAACAGGGCTTCTCACACTGTCAAGTGCTTTGGATTCACTCAGAAATCTTGTTAAAATGCAGATTCTGATTGAGCAGRTCTGGTGCAGACCAGATGCCTGCGATTCAGCATTTCTAACAAGCTCCCTGGTAAGGCCATTGTTGCTGGCCAACGGACCACATTTTAAGTAGCGTGGATCTAGTCTGTTCCCTGGGGATTTTGTGGCTCAGCGGTAGAGCACTTGCCTAGCATGTGCAAGGCCCTGGGTTCGATTCTCAGCCCACATAAAAATGAATAAATAAAATATGGGTATTGTGTCCAACTACAACTAAAAAAAAAAAAAAAAAAAGAGGGAAGAGTGTAGGGCATAATGTAACATGGGGCATGTTGCATCAGAAAAGATGCAACTTCCCAGTCCTGGGGCCATAGGTGGCTAAGAGAGCACCTAGCAATTAGCCAGAAGGCATTGCCATGGGTTGTGGAAGAATCCGACCACCTCTAGGATAGGCTCAGAACCCTTCTGCCCTCAAGGACAGCTCATGTCTCCCCTTACTGCCTGTAGGATGGGTGTAGATGTAAATTCTCTGTACCCTGCTGACCTTTACCCTGATTGGCTCCTGTATATTATATTAGCTGTGTATATTTTCTCATTAAACGAGATCCTGCTTTGACAGTTCTCCCTGGCCTGCCTGATTACCCTGGGGGTGGAGGGTGGAGGGGGGGAGGGGGGGAGGGAGGGAGGGCTGGGTGTGGGCGGCCAGTCCACCTTTACCTTTCTTGGCCTGTCCTGGTCGGGGTGTGCTCCCCCAATCTCTCCCACAGGTCAGGAGGGAACGGAGGGGGGGGCTAAAAACCCCAACAGAAGAGGTCACAGAGCAAACTTGGGTTTGACACCAGAAACAAAAGCACAGGGAAGGGTAGATTCCTTTTTATCACTTTTAACACTAAAACGGACATCTGTGAAGATCCTCTGATATGTGCCCAGCCGTGAGCTTTGGTGTCCTGTCCAGGAGTCATCAAGGGGCTTCTGCTCTAGTCCCTGCTCTAGGGTCAGTTCTAGAATGCAGCCTCCGCTTGCAGGAAGACCAAAGTCTTCCCCAGGGCCAGAAGACTGAAAGGAAGTGTTCTGGGCAGACTCACACTGCTGGGGAGTGCTCTGGAGATGACCTGTGTGGGGAGTGAAGAAGCAGATTGGGAGGAGCAGGGAGCTGGTTTGCTTCAGTGACACAGGCTCCAGAGCTGGAATGGCCCTGCAGAGTGGTCCTGATTTCTGTTTTACCTCACACTCAGACTTTTTACTAGAAGTACTCCAGGCTCCTGTTGGCTGAGGTCATGATAACAGGAGCTGCAGGTGCTGAACTGGCCCTGGGCTCACGCCCCGCTGCTTGCAGGGACAGGGAGCAGAGCAGCAAATGGACTGAAGAGTCCTTGTGCATGCCCCATGCTGTGCCAGGGGCTGTGGGGCATGTAGAGGCCAGACACAGCTTTGAAGTGCTCATTGCAGAGGTTCTGGGAGCCTGCAGTGGAGAGAGATTGCTTCTGACMAGGGAGCCCAGAGAGGTGGCATGGAGTGGGCAGCACATTAGCAGGGTCTTAGAGGAAGAGGGACTGTGCTTCACATCTGTAACAACTGGGAAATGAGGGCTGGACACTGCCACCCCCTATCCACATATTACCAGTGTAGGCTCTGGAGGGTGAAGTGACTTACCCAGAGCCACACAGAGCATCTGTTAGCCAGGCTCTCAGATAGTTGCCCATTGCTTTTTTCTTTTTAAAATTTTTAAGTTTATATATGACAGCGGAATGCATTAAAATTCATATTATACATATAGAGCACAGTTTTTCATATCTCTGGTKGTATACAAAGTATATTCTCGCCAATTCATGTCTTCATACATGTACTTTGGATAAAAATGTCCATCACATTCCACCATCATTTCTAACCCCATGTGCCCTCCCTTCCCCTCCCACCCCTCTGCCCTATCTAGAGTTCATCTATTCCTCCCATGCTCCCCCTCCCTACCCCACTATGAACCAGCCTCCTTATATGGGAGAAAACATTCGGCATTTGGTTTTTGGGGGATTGGCTAACTTCACTTAGCATTATCTTCTCCAACTCCATCCATTTACCTGCAAATGCCATAATTTTATTCTCTTTTACTGCTGAGTGATATTCCATTGTGTATACAGGCCACTTTTTTTTTTTTATTGGCCCACTGCTTTTGCTAACCATTTCTGCTCTCTCTGACTGACTATGCTAGACCCACCCTGCCCTACCTGTGGGGGCAAGGATCAGGCCCCAGAGCCGCCAGGATTGATTCGAGGGTTTGAACGTATCTCACCCACAGATCTCAAATAAGTCCTCCTACTTCTCCCAAGACCTGACACACTCATTGTTGAGTCATTTCTGACGCATTTACCCATTTCTTTGAACCAGAAATCTGAGTCATTTTTTATCTCTTTCTCACCTCTYGTACTCCCCAGTCAATTCCAGAACATGTCTGGAATAATAGTAGTAATAACATTCACCGTCTATTCCTCACAGTGATGCTATGAAGTTGGTGCCCAAGGTCCACAGCCAGGGAGGGGCAGAGCAGGGATTTGGCTCCAGCTGTCCCCTTCTAGCCCCAGGAAGAGGAAGCTGCCTGCTTGTCATCATCCACATGGCCACCACCATCAGTGTTTTCTGGGGCCATACCCAAAGCCCCTCACTGGACTGTGTGACTCCAGTCTTGTCCCTTTAGGACATTCCCCACAGAGCATCCAACCAGGTCCTTCTAAAACATATAGCCTATCATGCCTCTCCCTTGCTGAAACCCTTCAGAGGCTCCCTAGTCCTTCAGCACAGAGTACAATGTCCTCCACACAGTTCTTTAGGAGGCCTTGTGGGGTCTGCCCACTGACAGAGAATCAGGGGCTGGCAGATAATGTCAGTAGTCCACCCACATCCATGAGGTCCCTCAGATGCCTCAGTGTCCCTGTTCCTCATTTGCCTTCACTCTCAACAGTCAACCCTATGTGCCTCTCAGGAGCCACCCTTGGGGATGTTGCAAAAGGGGGCAATTATCAAAGAACACGCTGCATCTGCCACGAGCCTGGGAGATTCTTGAAGGTGGGAACTCTTGATTTTTGATTTTCTAAGCGCCGTAACACACGGCAGGGACACTGGCAGAGGAGTGCAGAACAGACACACCCATCTTAGGATGCGAGAAAAGCCACCTGGAGGAAAGAACACTTGAGCTGAGTGTAGCAGAAGGAGGAAAGGTTTATTTGTGGTGTGTGTGTGTKGGGGGGTGGGGCAGGGAGTTGAGCAGGAGAAGGAACAACTCTTGTCAAAGTTGGAAGGCACTGGAGAAGGAGGTACAAAGTCAAGTTGCCCCCAGATGGTCCAGTACGGAGAGCAGGGAGAGATAGGCAGCCTGGTGAGGTTTTCATGGTGGGGTATCAGCCCCATTTCACAGAGAGGAAACTGAGGCACAAAGAAGTCACATGACTGGCTCAAGGTCCTAGAYGGATAAAGTCAGAGTCAACCTGAGATGCAACTCAGGTCTTGGGTGTTCCTAGTCCTGCAAGTGTGTGGCCTGAGGTTCTACTGGGGAGACATTCTCTGTGCTCACTAGTTCAAAGGATTTGAGGTCCCCGCAGGCCTCCTAAGTACAACTTGGATAAACAAATCAGCACCATATACACGTCCTCAATGCTTAGTTCCCCCAAGTAAGTTATGTTTGAATCATGATGAGCACCTGAGAGCCATAAAGGTGCTCAGAACTGAAGCTATTCTAGTATCAGTTTTATTTCTTCCCAGTACTAGGTATTGAACCCAGGGTCAGTGTACCACAGAGCTACTTGTTTATTTTGAGACAGGGTCTCACTAAGTTGCTGAGGCTGGCCTTGAACTTGAGATCAATTCTCCTGCCTCCACTTCCTGAATCACTGGCATTAGGCCTGTGCTACCACATCCACTTATTCTCCTGTCTTAGTCAAAGCCATTGGGTCTGGTTCTACTTCCAGGCCCAGGTCTAGCTCTCTTTGCTTTTGTGGGTTAAAGTAAACCCCATCACATAACATAAATGAAGGTACATAGTGATTTTTTTTGAAGGTCTGATGAGCATTTTTTATCAGTTCAGTATAGTTTTATACACTATTATGGTTCATTTTCACATAATTATACAAGCATGGAATATAACTTGCTCCAATTCAGTCCACCTATTTCGATTTTTCATTGCTGGGTGTGGAACTCAGGGCCTCACACATGCTGAGTAAGTATTCTACCACTGAGCCATACCATCAGCCCCTAATTTTTTAATTCTTTAAAAAAATTCTTAAACTATTTTTTAAAATTTAAATTTTTATTTTTAAATTCTTAAAAGACAAAGACAATATGAGAATTGCAACAGTTCGAGCCATTGATTTCATGAATACAGGGTGGGCCCCAAATTGGAGAGAGCATTTCCTGAAGAGTAATAGTCACATCGGTGTGGACATTGACCAGARGGGTGAGTTGGCCTGGTAAGCAACCCAGAAGGGCTTGAGCGGTTCCCACCTCCTGTTGTTATTTGTCAAAGGCTGGGCAAGATGCCACACGGGATCAGATGGCCACCGCAGGAGGCTGTCTTGACAAACTGATTTATTCAGAGTGAAACAACATTCTCAGGTTGGTTGAGAACACGAAGACCACGTAGCTCAGCTTCTTCCCCTTCCAGATGGAAAAAATGCAGGATTTGAATGGGAAGGTGACTTGCTTCAGGTCAAGCGTGAGTTCATGGCACAGGCAGAAGTGGGATCAAACCTTCCAGATCCCAGACCATCTTTCTTACTGGGCTTAGCTGCTGGGAAAGCAGTACAAAGCTTCTGGTTCCAAGTTTTGCTTTCCATCTGGGTGAGAAAACAGGAGCATGGTTACTAAAGAAAGGGTTTCCCAGAAACCACGGAAATACAAGGGAAGTTGGCAGGGACATAAATGCTGGAGCTCATAGACCTGTTTGTGTGCTCAGTGATGAGTGCGTATTGACCTGCACGGCACAGTTGCAGGTGCAAGGTGACGGGTGACGAGTGTGGCCCTTGTCAACAAGCCCATTCCCACTTGCATCTGAGCCTGAAACTACAGAAAGAAAATTAAATGTAAGTAATGATGATAAAGAGAAAAAAGATGATTAGATCTCATAGTTTGGCATTTCCTACATACAATCCACAGGATGATGATGTCACGAGAAATAAAAGATCTTATGGTCAAATAATTTTTGGAAACTTTGATTTAATTCAAATCAATGGGTTTCTTTTTTGCAGGGCTTGTCAGATCTTTTACTAAATGCATGACAGATATTTCTATGGGAGACTTTAAGAAGCGGTTTCCCAGATTTTTGTGTCCATGGAGCCCCTCCCCTCAAGAATAATCTTAGGGGCTGGGATGGTGGCTCACCTCGCACGTGCAAGACCCTGGGTTCTATCCTCAGCACCACATGAAAAAAAATATAAGTGAAATAAAGGTATTGTGTCCAACTACAACTAAAAAAATAAATATTAAAAAAGAATAATATTATGAATCTCATGTTCCATAGAATGAGCATTTTTAAATTTAAATTTAAATTTTCTGGGTGTGGAGGCACATGCCTGTAATTCTAGTGGCTCTGGAGGCTGAGGCAGGAGGATGGCAAGTTCAAAGCCAGCCTCAGCAAAAGCAAGGTGCTAAGCAACTCAGTGTGACCCTGTCTATAAATAAAATACAAAATAGGGCTGAGGGTGTGTCTCAGTGGTTGAGTGCCCCTGAGTTCAATCCCCAGTACAAAAAAAAAATTAAATTTATATTTAATTTTATTATTCAGGGCTGTGGACTGAACTTGCAGCCTTGCGCATGCTAAGCAAGTGCTCTGCCTCTGAGATAAATTCCCAACTCCCATTTAAAAAAATTTAATAAAACTCTTTCAATTTTTAATTTTACAGATGAGAATACAAAGGCTCCAAGGGAGAACTGGCTTGTCCTAGGTTACACAACCRGGGGTTGGTGGAACCAGGACACAGATGGATTGCTAGAAACTCAAGCACCAAATCCCTTCCTCGTTCTTGCTGAGTTCCTAGTACTTAGTTTTGTGTCTCTAATAGAGTGATTAATAATACAGCGGGTCACAGTGACTGACAAATAACAGCTCAGCGTGTTTTTATGTGTGTTTTTCACATGGTCTTGATTAAAACCCTAAGGGACGCGCGCTGTAATTATCCATTTTAGAAAATGGTAAGTCAGGAATTGTGAAAGGTCTGAGATTTTTCTTTACTTAAAATCCTGCCAGTTAGCTTATCACAGTTTTATGTACATACACTGTCAGAAGTCACAGGCCTCCTGGGTCAGTGGCACAGAGGATTTTATGAGTCAAAGTGAGACATCAGCCAGGACAGTATCCAGGTCAGTTCTCCAAGGTCCAGTTTCCGTGGGATGACACGATGTTATGTGCACATGCAGTGGGGTTCCTGATGGACGAGGAACTCTGAAATTAAGAAACCGGTGACCTCTCCATGTTCTCCTCTGGAGGAGAGAGATTACTTACTGCCCTGGAATATCAGCCAATGTCTACCAAGGGAGGGGGAAGAAGGTTTATTTTTACTATGCTGGGACATTCCCAGGGAGGTTCATCTCCAAATCACTCAGGCGAGACTTGTGACCTTTCACTCCCAAGGCTATTTTCTATTCAAACATCTCTTTTGCTCAGAAGATCCAGATCATGCAGAAATATGAGATATCCAGGGAGAATTACTCTCAACAACAATATGGACATGGAGGCTTAGTGTACAAACAACTTGATCTTGGACATATGGAAGTGTTAGGAAAACACATTAATTAATGGGGCTTACGGTGGGAGCTGAGCAGGGGATGGATCTAGGTTTCCAAGATGTCAGTCCCCAAGGACCCTCCTGAAGGAACCAAGACCCAGATCCCAGCCTTAAGAAAGGTAGGACCTTAAAAACGAACACAGATCCAACAGCACTGCAGGTTTGGTTCAAGATCCGTAGAGCAACACTCAAAAAAGAAAAACGCAATCTTCAGCAAAAGCAAGAGGCTCAACATCAGTGGTTTCCTGAGTCTGGAGTCAAGACCAGCCCTTCCCAGAGAAATGTGGACACACCACCCAGATGCCCCAACAGCGCCTGTCKCGTAGCCCCCATTCACAGGAACTGTGGGACACCCTCATTCCATCTCAGCATATGCCTCCCTTTTAAGGTTCACAYAGGCCATTCTGGGAGCCACAAAATACTTCTTTTGGCTGCTGCCAAGACCCTAGTGTATATTGCCTCCATCCAATATCGGAATCTCAAGATAGTTCTCCGAGCCTTACTCCAACTCCTGTTGACTCTTCATGTGTGCAAAAAAGAGAGAGAAGCTAGACACAAGGGTTGTGATGATTTTTAGGGCTTTATATACAAGAGATGCTTTCCAACAATAAGGAAGAAAAGAGATAAACACAACGTGGTGAGTTTCAAAAAACAGAGTGAAAGAGAAAGAAAAATGATTACTGGTGGAGCTTATTACTATAACCCAAAAGTGTGGCTTTTTTTAAATTTCTTACTGGGCAATTCGGGTTTTTTCTTTTCTTTTTTTCCTTTTGGTTATAGGGCTTGATCCTAGGGGTGCTTTGCCACTAAGTTTCATCCTCAGCACTTTCTTTCTTTCTCTGTTTTTTTTTTTTTTTTTTTTGGTACTGGGGATTGAACTCAGGGGCACTCAAGCACTGAGCCACATCCCCAGCCCTATTTCACATTTTATTTAGAGACAGGGTCTCACTGAGTTACTTAGTGTCTCGCTTTTGCTGAGACTAGCTTTTTTTTTTTTTTTAAAGAGAGAGAGAGAGAATTTTAATATTTATTTTTTAGTTTTTGGCGGACACAACATCTTTGTTTGTATGTGGTGCTGAGGATCGAACCCGGGCCGCACGCATGCCAGGCGAGCGCGCTACTGCTTGAGCCACATCCCCAGCCCCCCAATTTGGAATTTTTAATGGGGTTTTTGTGGTTGCTCTTGCCCTCCCAGCGCTGGAAACTGAACCCAGTGCCTCCTGTACGCTAAGCAAGTGTTCTTCCCCTGAGCTACCCACCTTCCTACCTTCCATCCTGARCAATTTTCTCTGAAGGACAAGTCTCAGAATCAAGGTCCCTCTGACTTCCCCTATTCCTCTCCTTCCCAGCGCAGGGAGAGATGTTCTGCAAAGTTCCTTTATCTGCCCAAAGTCCAGACCTGCCAAAGAGGAAATGTTGACTCTGGTCTTTCCTCTGAGCCCTCCCCAACTCAGCTCCTGTTGCAGGAGGAAAGGCTGATGTCTGCCAGCACACCTGGACACACTGCCACTGTCCTCTATTTTGGCCCCAGAGAGAACCATTTATAAACCATCATCTGATCTTTGAGCCCAATGGACTTTGTGTCCCAGGCCACTGTATATCACCAAGCCCAAGTGAATTCTACCATTAATTATTTCTTTGAAATGCCTTATTCTTCCCTTTCCTATAGAAAAARTGGTTTTGTACAATTCTGGATTTTCAGGCTTGTGGGTAATCAGRGTCCTGTGATTTCTTGTTTCTTTGGCATGTTAATAAATCTGTATGCCTTCTTAAAAATTAATTAATGGATGAATGACCTAGGCAAGGGCACTTTCTACTGGAGTTGTRGTAATTAGTCTTTGTTAGAAAAGTGATTCACTGACAARTTCACATTGCAGTATTAGTCTTAGTCCTGTGTGTGCCAGATGGATTTCTTTCCTATTTTGGCAAAACAGTCAAACTGAGACCCAGGGRCATGCCCTTTTAAGTCTTGCTAATCTAACACAAAAAACATTGAATCAACAGGTTTTATTCTTGCCACCTTCAAGAGACTGCTTTTCTCCACAAAACAAGACAAAGGGGGTACTCTTTTGCTAGCATTAAGATTAATTGAATAATGTAAATTCCAGTTCATTTAGTTTTCAAGTTATTGGATTCTTTTTTTTCTGATGGAGGCCCTGGGGATTGAACTCAGGGGYACTTGACCACTGAGCCACATCCTCAGCCCTATTTTGTATTTTATTTAGAGACAGAGTCTCACTGAGTTGTTTAGTGCCTCACTTTTGTTGAGGCTGGCTTTGAACCGCCATCCTTCTGTCTCAACCTCCCGAGCCGTTGGGATTACAGACGTGCACCACTGTGCCCGAAAAAGTTATTGGATTCTTGACCAGCATTTCAACAGATGCTCTTTTGGRGTTAAACAAACCAAGGACACAATTAGGAAGAGGAAGATATTTATTATGCTTGTTTTAGCCTGGAGGATATGTCTTCTCTTTGTTTTGAATATGTTCTGAATGTGAAGGTTAGATTGGAGGATGGTTGCCAGCCAGTCCACAAATGACAGGATTTGTGGGAAAAGAAAGTTTGCACTTTAATTTTTTAGAGTAGCTTTATTGAGTTATAATTAACACACTATTCAATTATCCCAGCATATAATTTTGGGGGACTGTACTCGGGATTAAACCCAGGGGTGCTTAACCACTGAGCGACACCCCCAGCGCCCCCCCATTTTTTTGGTATTTTTTATTTAGAGACAGGGTCTCATTGAGTTGCTAAGAGCCTTGCTAAGTTGCTGAGGCTGGCTTTGAACTTGAGATCCTCTTGCTTCAGCCTCCCAARCCATTGGGATTACAGGTATGAGCCACTGTGCCTGGCMAARTATGCATACATATTTTTTAGTTTATTCACCAGTGTGCAACAATCACTACAATCAGATTTTGAGCATTTCATCACTCCCAGAGGCAACCTATATTCTTCAGCAGTCACCCTCCATTCCTCTCACCTCTCCTCCCCATGAAGTTCTAGGCAACCACTAAGCTACTTTATRGATTYGTGTGTTCTGGACTTTTCAYATATGTGAAATCATRTATTASRTGGTCTTTTGTGATTGCRTGTAATCATGAGTCATGCTAGCTCCTGCTCACAAAGCAATCACAAATGTGAAGAAATGTTCAATTGCTCCTAAGTGGCTTAAATCATTTGACCCATGTGACCCTGCCAGACTGTCATTTCCAACAGGGCTTTGCCAAAGTGGATTAATTACAGAACTGTTGTCTGAATTCTTTCTCTTTCCAATGTTTTAGCAACAAAATACCTTTTTCCTATTGACTGAGGACAAATAGAAAAAGAAAAATCCCATGTAAATCCAGCTTGGGTTGGAGGATCACGAGTGTTGGCTTAGATGTTAGTGATTTTTTTTTTGAATCTGCTCTCTTAATATAGTCCTCAGAGTCTGAGGTTTCAGCGTCCATGATAATGTCAGAGGGAGTCTTTGCAACTTGCTGAGCATATATCACCTTTCCTTTTACTTTAAATGATTTGATGTTGTCAAAACAAGGACTCATGCCATAGTGGTGTTTGCCTGTAATCCTAGAGACTTGGGAGGTTGAGGCAGGAGGATTGCAAGTTTGAGGCCAGTCTCAGGCCATAAACGACTTAGTAAGTGTAAGTGTAAGTGCATGGCACACAAATGATGGAGGAAGGAGACGGGAAAACCTCGGATCAGCAAGCTTTCCTTTATTTTGCATCCAAGCCAATCATCAGGCACGGGAGGGCTCATTTTATGGGTACGGAGATGACCCCCCCCCCCAGGTTACAGAAGGAATCTAGGTTTTTACAAAGAGGGCAGATTAATCTCTGGAGACTGTAGGCGTGCGGTTTGGACAGTTAGGGACCAATTTGTGTAGGCTAAAATTTTAACTCAGGAAGTTAGTTGTAAAAAGTTTGAAACTCCTTGTCCGTGGGAAAAGCTCACAACTCGGTGTTCACTGCTTATCTTCCTTCCTCTGGGACTCACTGTTACCCAGAGCTTCACTATTTGCTTTTCTCCTTCCAGGACTCATCTGCAAGGGGAAAGGGTCACAGTCCAGGGCCCAGTGTTTCAGTATCCGCCTCCTCCCTTCAGGACCCACTGGGATTGGGAAGGGGTGAATGTTTGGTTTTGGTGGAGACGCTGGGCATGAACCTGGGAAGGGATGAAAGTTTGCTTTTTCCATCAGGGTCCATTCTTACTGGGGAAGGGTGTACTGGGAGAGGCTTAATGTGTGGCTCATTTCCCTCCCTCTTCCCAAGTCACACTGTCCCTCTGTTTTTCCTGGGGAGCTGTCTTGTAGGAATATTATTTTTCATATCCCTTCAGCAAGACCCTGTCTCCAAATAAAAAAATGAAAACGGCTGGGGATAGAGTTAGTGGCCATGTGGAAGAGAACTAAGATGTCCTTAGTGATAAAGTGGCCCTGGGTTCAATCCACAGAACCTCCCCCCAACAACAGCAAAAACCAGAAAACCAACAACAACAACAACAACACAAAACAAAGGCTCAGTATTCAAACAGATGTGGGCACACAAGCCAYGGAGCAGAGAATGTGCAGGTGATTGAAGTTTGGGTCAGATTCATGGGAACAAAATAGCTTTGATGCTACTTGAGAACGTGTCTGTGAAATGGCATTTCAGATCCACAAGGAGACGTTTGATCGCCTAAC